GACAGGCAGCGGGGTGGGGGGGGGTGGGGTTGGGGGGGAGGAGCCAAGAGGGCGCAGCTGTAGCCTGATCTGGGGTCCATCTGGCGTGGCTGGGCCCAGGCTTCTGATGGACTTGGCGGGGGGTCGGGGAGTGTCGTGAAATTGGCGTACTTAAGGCGATGTCCCATTGCCCCCTGAGTGTGTTTGGAGAGGTGAGCAGGACTAGATGGATATTTTGTAGGCTCCAAACAGTATCTACTTAGGGCAGGTCAGAGTTAAGACTGGAGACAGTTGAGCTCTTTATGGAACCTTTATGCTCTTTAAATCTTTATGGAACTTTATGGAACTCAATGAGCCTAAGAGCGGAAGGCAACTAGAGAGCTACAGAACAGCAATCTGTAGCGACATTAATAACACTAATTGAGTGCTTACTGCTGGGCTGGCACTATTCTACGATCCCATTCTAGGAACTGCAAGAGATTGAACTCAATTGATCCTTACAGTGAGCCCACCAGCTGCTGTTATCTTCTCCATTTTGCAAAAGAGGAAACTTGAGTCCGAGAGAGAAGTTACATAATCTGCCCAGAAAGGGTTAATTTGAACTCAGGTCATCAGTTTCCAGGCCTGTGCTCTTTAGCCATATTCCCAGAGGTAGTGAGTGCGGTCCAAAACAAGACTTAGAGCTTGCATTTTGCTAGCTGGTTGGCAGAGTAGTCTAGCCTGAGCCCAGCAAAAGTGAAAACCTGAAGGAAGAGAAATGTTTGGTTGCATTGCAGGGAAATGAGGAATAATAGTTGACATACACATACTTAAGGATTAGTATAAGCTGGGTCTGTTCTAAGATCTTGTATGAGCAAGACATTTAGTTTTTACCACAATCATAGGAGGTGGGTATAATTATCCCCCGTTTTCCTGAAGAGAAAATTGAGGCACACAGAGCTTGTGTGACTTGTTTGGTGTCATCAGGTAGCAAAAGCAGAACCCAGAGTTTGAATCCAGGCTGCCCTTATACCTGTTTGGACTGGAGAGGAATCTATGGTCTTACAGTCCATTTAAAGCCTTTATTCTTTATCAAAAGAACAGTTGGAAGCCACGGAAGGGAGGGTCAGACTGGGGGCAAAGTGAAGTTGAGAGGTTTGTAGTAATCCATTCACAAGCAAGCAGTCCTGGTTCTGTAGGGAAAGAGAAGCTGGTGAAATCAAGATCCAGTACACAGGAGACTTAAGAGGGACTGGTGACTGACCGGATATGGGGGTATAAAAGGTGGAATCCGGAGGATGCCCTCCAGTATCTCTTGTTTGGGCAGCTGAGTGAATACTGAACATTGATGGTCCTCACTGGCAACAGGAGAGCACACCATGGCTGCCTCTGGGGGGAGGTGCTAAATGGTACTCTGAGATGCATGGAATTCCAGGCCCCTTTGTGTTACCCAAGTGGGGAGTCTGTTTGATGAAGAATCTGCCTATGGGAGCAAAATCAGGCCACAGGAAGGGACTGAGCTATGACTGGAATCACCCCAGGTGGTTGGTAACTAAAGCTGTTGGCCTGGAGAAAGCTGGCCAATGCTGTCTGAGAGTGTAGTGTGACTGGGGGCCTACAGGTATGGCCCTGAGGTGTTCCTGCATGCAAAGGCCGGAACCTTCAGAATCACCAGAATTCAGGACAAGTGTAGCTGTAGCGGCAGAGAACCACAGGCCAGAGTGGTGTCCTCTAATCTGGTGAAGGTGTGATGTGAACATGGAGGGCCAAGCTGGTGCAGAGGTCATAGAGCGGGCAAGTAAGGAAAGGCTTAAAATTATATCTGGGATTTAGCCCCAGCAAGGACTCAAGTGCAAAATGGGAGCAGAATTTCTAAAGAAAACGTGACAGACTTGACTGACTGGATAAAATAAACAGGTCAAAGATGTCTCCATGGTGCCGATATGAGGCAACTGGAGAATATGGTACCGAGGAGGGACTTTATTGCAGGTGGGGAGAGGCAGTCATAATTCTGGTTTTAATCTCATTGACTTTGAGATACTTGGTGACACTTGTAGATACAGATTCTTTGGGGGGGAAAGACAGAAGAGCCATAGATGAGAATCACTAATGTGTATGCAGATTTGGAGGGAAGCCAGGAGGCCGTGCACGCTTGGGCTGGTCAGGTAGCTCTGGTTCTAGCATTCAGGCTTTTAAGAGGCTTTGAGAATTCTGGAATAGAGAGGCGGGACCCTACTTGTCAAGACATCTGAATTTGTGAGGCAGGAAGACCAGGGGAATCTCACTCCCGCTCTCACCCAGACCTGCTGGAGGTCATCTGAACGTGACATGCGTGGGTTGTCTCTGAAGTGGAGTTGTGGTTTGCTCTTTGTGTTTCTCCCTTAGGTATGAAGAAATTGATTTGGAAACCGGAATTTTGGAGTCCAGGAGGGACCCGGTGACGTTGGAGGATGTCTACCCCATTCACATGATCCTGGAGAATAAGGATGGCATCCAGGGCTCGTGCCGGTACTTTAAGGAGAGGAAAAACATCACCAGTGACATCAGGACCAAGTCTTTGCAGCCTCGCTGTACCGTAGTGGAGGCCTTTGACAGGTACCCGGCCAGCCTGCCAGAAACAGGACTGCTCTGAGTCAGGGGCGTGGTCAGAATGTTGGGTCTGGTCAGCAGCCTTGGTGTCAGAGCCAGCCCCCCCCAGCCAGCCAGCCAGCATCTGTCTTCACTCTGCTTTGGGGGGCTGATTTTGCTTGGGGTGGGGGTGATTAGGGAGGGGTGGGAGGTGCCTTTTGCTACCCTGGTGTCCTCCTGTTCTGGCACAGCAGGGCAGAGAGTGCCTGTGCAGCTGCCCACTGGTCCTTTATCAGTCGCACCAGGGTCCTGATCTCCCAGAGAGGCTCATCCAGACTGTCATTTTCTCTAGCCTCTTCCCCATCCCATCTCCCTTCTCCCCTCACAACAGGGGAAGCTGCCAGCCAGTCCTCTGACTTCTGCTGGCTGCCTGTGGCTCTGGCTTGTCTTTCTGCGCCCCTCTCTCTGGAGCACCCCCAGCTGGTGTGTTTCTCTTCCTTCCTCCCCAGCTTCCTCGCCCTCATCTCTTTCCTGCCTCTGCCAGCATGGCGCCTTTATCTGCAGCTTAACTGTCCACTGGTGCACCTCAGCGCGTGGCTGTGTGTCCACCCTGTGTCTCTTCATCTCCTCCCCTGTACAATAGCTCCTGCTGCCGTGCTTCTTGCAAGAAATAGCTACACTCCTGTGTCTCCTACCTTCACCCCTCCACCCCCACCGTCCTGATTTGACTTCGCTGCCTCACCAAACTTAACGCTTTTAAGCTCCAGATTAACAAGCTGTGGACACGCTGAGACCTTAGTCTCCTCTCCACTCTGCCCCACTAGGGACTTTGAAGCTTTTGCTCCTTTGGTTTCAAACTTTGTTTTCTGTCCTGGCTGGTCTGCATCAGCTCTCCTGTGAACTCCACAGCTTCCTCCTGCCCTTTCAGCCCTTTCCCAAGGGCTCGGTCTGGTCTCTTACCCTCCCCCACCCCCACACACCCCTCTGCTATTTCCATCCTCCCTCTTACTCCATGTGGCCAGAATTAGAGCTCCCCACATCCTTCCCCCAAGCCTGCTTTCACCCCCTTTTGTGCTCAGAGGGCCCCTTCTCTCCTGGCCTCTACATTCAGTGCCGCTGCCAGTCTGGTCCTGTGGGTTAGACCTTCTGACTTCTTTCAGACGCTCTGTGGCCTCACATTCTTGCAGCTGCTCTGGCTGTCCTGCTCCTCTTTGCTGCTTTCTCCCCACAGGGGGGCTGTTTTCCCAGCTGGAATGTGAGGGACTGAGCTTTGCCTCTGGGGCAGAGGTTTCAGACTGGCCAAACCTGCTCCCCCACCGCCCTTCATTGTTTAACTGTTCAGTAGCATGGGCTTTTATTTGTCTCTGCTTTTGTTTCTTTGCTAATACATAAAACTTTGGATTTCCTGTTTCTCTAAAAAGACAAGGCTTAGCTGTGCTGGATGTTTGACTCTGCAGTGTGGGTGGGAGCCCTGAGCCAGGTCCTTCAAGATTCCCCCTGTGCTGCCTCCCCCAGCACTTCAGGACCCAGCTTTGCCCCACCCACCCCCTTCTCATCCTCTCAGCTCTCCCCACTTTTCACTGCTTCCGCCTGAGCGCATTGGGCTCATTTCAGTGTCAGTGCTGTGGCACGGGCCGTTCCTCCTGCCTAGAATGGCCACCTCATCTTTATTCAGCTTACACTTGGCTCGTCGAGTGTCCCTCATTGACCAGGCACCATCATATTCACTCCCAGAAATCTGGTCTAAATGTTTATTTTGCTCTTCCCTCACCAACCGTGCGCTCCCTGAGGGCAGGAACCCTTGTCTGCCTTGCTCATAGCTGTATTTTGAGGATCCAGGATGTACTTGGCACAGAGTTGGCTCCTAAAAATGCACTATTGGGTTTGAAGTTAAGTCATGGAAACCAGCTCCCTAGCAGGACATCACAAGGCCGTGCAGGATGGGGACTCTGGGCTCTCCTGCTTCTCCTGGCCGAGGTCACAGG